CTTTGGAGCACCACACAGTGCTAATGCTGGATGTGTGCCATTTATTCAGTCCCCGGTCAGCTTGGTCACCTCCCGGAGCACCAACAAGGCTTCTACCCACAGCATAGGACATTGGTAGCCCAAGAGGGTAGATCAGCAATTTTCCATCCTTTTTCAAGTTGATGTGTTTCATCCCAACACAGATGGTAGTGTCTGGATTTTCCAAAACCCGTTATTGTCACCAGCAGTTCAGTGTGGAGGGTCATAGAAGAAACTACACTGCTTTGTATGGAAGGAGACCATGGCAGCACCCGCTCAACAAGGAGGTCTTTTCTGTACGTCACAAAGACTTTGGTTTTCTGTGTTTGGTGTGATTTTGCATATCCGTAGTTTGTCAGACCCAGCCTTGCTTTCTTCCCAGCAGTGGCTTTGCTAAAGCTCTGCCGATCCATCGTGTTCTTTCACATCGTATTTGCACAGCATTTTGCTGATATTTCCTCCTTCTCTTCCTCCCTGCCTTGACAAGCGATATAATGTAAGTCTCCCAGTTACGAATACTAATTATCTGCTGGCTCATTCTTGGTTTTCAGACTGCAGTCGAGCCTCACTGAACAACTGCTTAGTAAAAACCAAAAGCGTAAAAAATAAGCGGAGTTACGAGATACATGGGTAACTAACTTGAACAGTGACCTTTATAGAGCCTGAGAAATAACGGTGGGAGATCTGCTTGAGGAGTTCACAGCTTGTGGTATAATCTGTTGTCAGAGCCACTGGATCATTTTTTATTTGGTTCTCCTAAAACTTCATCTCTTTTTTTCTGAGAAATATTTTAATTAAAGAAATTAAATTCTATAACACTTGTAGTTTTTAATCACAGGAGTTAAGCTATTTTTCCCTGTGTATACGAAAATGTCTTTCAAGCCTAAGCAAAGAACTGTCCTCCTACGTAAAATCACAGTAGTTAAATGTTTATTATACCTTGCTGATGTTGCGGGAGAGTTCAAAATAGAAATGCCTGTGTGTAAGCCCAGCGTGAGGCTCTGCTCTTGCCTCAGACGTGCAGGACAGCTTAGTAATAGGATTTTATCTAGTTTTTGAAGCAGGTATTTTCCTTTAAAATTATCTAGATTTTTCTTTTATATTGAATATTTCCCCTGGGATTTTACAAATTAAGATTAAAACTGGTTTCTCTTGCTCTCCCACTCACCCATTTTTCTACACCCTTAAAAAATCACTCACAGTTGCAGCCTTATGGAAAGAGAGAGAGAAAAAGATTTTTGGGGCGGGAGTGAGAATGGAAGGGTTGGGAGATATAAAGCCACAGTTGGCAATCCTGCTCTCTCACATTTTATAAGACAGTAAAATCTGCATATGGCAGATGCTCTTTTTATAAGGGGAAAGAAAGCCCTTGTAATTTAAGTCAGGATCTCTGGGATTCTGCTGGGTGTGTTTTCAGAAATTTTTCTGGAAAGCGTGTTTTAGTTTTGAAAACAAGCAAGTCGCTTGGCAGATTTTTAGAATGGGGAATTAAATATAAGAATCAGAATGCTGTATTAAACAGTGTTATGTAATAAATGCAGTATTGTTTGCAGGTGCTGGCTCTAGAACTAGCAAAGGGATGCAAACCTGTTTCTCTTTAGCACGCTGCCAGGTCCCACTCTGCAGGATGAAACGGGATCAGAGGCTGTTCTGACCTCAGAAGACCAATTTTTCACTATTTTCTGGCATTGCTTACTGCATCTGATTTAATTTCCAGAGATGGTGTGTATTCAGACCAGCGCAGGGTTAGACGTCCAGTTCTGCTCCACGGTAGTGGGAAGATTAATGCCTCAGCACCACTGAGCTCTGAGAAAGGACAGCACCGCTTAGAAACCCCAAAAGAGATTTCAGAGCTGATCCCGCGCGTTTGTGTACACCAGGGATGGAAGGACATTATGGCCTTTGGGCCTCCTAATTAATATTGCCAAAGAACCTCCCTATTGCATGTCAGATAAAGGATGAAGCAAGGTAGAGCATTATGGAACACAGAAAAACCTACTCTCAGCTTTTAATCTGTTTTGAGTTTGCAATCAGAATAATGGATAAGAAGGAGTAATTTGGACGGGGCAGTGTAAAGCTGAGCAGGCTCTGGGTAAATCTTCTAACAGAGAAGTTAATTTCTTAACTGATGATACAGAAAAGCATTTCAATATTTGGATGAAGCCTGGATGCACGGGATGAGAGCAGCGCGAGTGATGCTGAGACAGTGATCCTGAAGGGGAAAGTCAATCTTGATCTTGCGAAGGGTGACCAATACGTGCAGTGTTGGCAGGGAAGAGGAAAGTCTGATTTGTCCTTGTCATTTTTAACTTGATGAGTCATGTAAACTTCTCTGAGGGGTGAGCTGAGAGGCAGGATGGTGTCAGGGGAACTGGCTGTAGAAGAAAGGTAATACTTTTTTTTATCTAGGTGGATAATTGTTATTAGAAACATAAAAGAAACTGAGCTCATTAAAAAAAATCATCATAATAAAATAAAAATAAAAATGAAGGGAGGCAAAAGGTTGGAGTGGCAGATTTGAGATGTGGTAGACCCCATAGAAGAGTTCCTAGGAAGAGTCAAGAGGAAGTGGAGATGTGCAGACCATGGTGGGGAGCAAGATGCCAAGAAGGAGGGATGTTCACTGCTAAAACAACAGCCAGTTAGACATCGGTGAGTATCAGCACTGGAGACAGCCCTGGAGAGGCCAGAGTAGGACCCCAGCACCCAAGGAAAGCATTAGAAATGCTTCAGCAAATGGCACGTTCAGTGAATTTGATGAATTGAAGTCAGCAAGCAGAGAGGCACAGGATTGTATCATTATTTTTATTTAGCAAGAAATAGTAGTGTGTTGCAATTTGTTCTTGTTCTGCGTAAAGAAAGAAGTTAAAATGTCAGCATTTCAAGGAACAAGACAAAATTCTCCCTCATTTACAATCAAAAATACTAAAAAAAAAAATTCTCTTATAAAACTGAAAAAGATTCTGAAAAAAGATTATTTTTTGCTCAAACTTTTGCGCTGTTGTCTTTCCTCCCCCCCCCCCAATTTTCCTTACTAAAAAAAAAAATTCTCTTATAAAACTGAAAAAGATTCTGAAAAAAGATTATTTTTTGCTCAAACTTTTGCGCTGTTGTCTTTCCTCCCCCCCCCCCAATAAGGAAGCTTTTTTTCCTCCCTGAAAACGTTCTGTTAGCCCTGTAGGCAGTAAAGCACAGCATTTTGCTTGAGGATATTAGAATGTGCTTATTCTGGGAAAGGAACACTGCCAAAGACCTGGAAAAAAACCCCACAAGGCTGAGGAAGAAAGCCAAGAGGATGTGGGTAGTGCAGGTGGGTAACAGAGAGGAAGGTGTGAAAAATCTCTTTGTGGGGAGAGAAGGGAAAAAAAGAAAATGGAAATTACAGCTGCCGACAGTCTTGTCATGGTTTGCTTTGTAGAAGTCAGCTGGAGCTGCAGGGAGAAGGGGGCTGGTGGAGCACATCGCGCCTTCGGAGTCGCGTGGGAGTGGGTGCGGATGGCAGTGCGCGCGCGGCCGGGGGATGCAGGCAGCATCTGCCCGTGCTGGGAGAACACGATGCTTCGCACCGTTACGCTTCCTCCAGAGATGCTCGGCAGCGTAGGGCTAGAGGCGATTGTAAGCCTAAGCTTAGCACAGACACGCATGTGAATTACTTGCTGAGTTTTAGGAGTAGCTTTCCAAACTAACCCAGCGATCTACCTTACTGCTGCTTCGTGTAGCCAAAACCAAAATGTGGTTTGAATTGCTGGGTGCTGCTTGGGGTTGTCACTTGATTGAGGTAAGTGTCACCTGGGGTCCAGCCGCTGGTTAAATCAGCGGTGCAGGGGATGCTCACCACCTCTGTCAGGCCACGTCACACTTTGCTGTTTATAACCAGAGCGCCCCGTGGGCGTCAGGCACGTGGGTTTCAGCCAGCTCCTTCTCTCTCCTGCTCCGCGCTGATCCGACCGGGCAGTGCACGTGCGTGAGGTCACTGCCTGCTCTGATACCCGTGCCGTGGCTCTGGAGAACCAAGTGACTTAAGCCTAAAGCATTTTTACTACGTTTCACCACAAATTTCATTTCTTTGTGATCGGTGGTGACTGATTTTTTTTGTCAGCCTGTCTGTTCTAAATAGAGGCTCGAAGGCGTTGACGCTGGCTAAGGAAGTAATGATTTTCTCTGCAAAGAATCCTGTGGTTTCCTACAGCAGGAACTTTATCAGAATAAAATCAGAAGCAGCTAATGGTGGCTGCAGGATTTGTAACAAGCATGTTTGTAACAAGTATGTGAGCCGGGATTGAAAGCCATATTGGGGTTTTTTTCTTCCTTAGCTTTGAATTTTTTCCTGGTTCAGTGGATTCTTCTTTCCATTTACTACATTCATTTGGATTTTCAATATGTAGCATTAGTCCACAAAGAATAATTTCCTTTTGGAGTTATTCTGAACTGGAAAGCCCCTAAGTGCGTTTGCAGTATTTCTGTGTAGCACTGGTATTTTTGCCTGGCAGGACTCCCTCCGCCCGAGGTGAAATCTTGGAGCCCCCTATGCATTTCACACAGTGCCTTCTGGAGGGGAGGACAATGCAGAAGACATTTTGAATTGAGAGGTGAACTCTTGCACGGTCGCTGCAAAAGCATCACCTGGTGGCTAAAACCCTCCCCAGACGGAGGGATGCGGAGAGGCAGGAGATGCTGCAACCTGCCATTGCTCCTCTGCCCTGCGTGGCCTGGGAGCAGACACCCCCCAGACCCGGTTCTGCTGCTCCGGATGGCTCGGGATGGAGAGTTCCCGTTTCCCATAGGTCTGCGAGAATCTTAGCAGTTAAATCTTTCTTATGTTTCTTTCTTCCTTTCCTGCGGTGATAAAGGGAAGCTTCCAGTGACTGCGTGCTGTGCCTTCGAAGAAGAGGAATTCTGCCTTGTTTAGCCACATTGATACTGATGTCTGTGAATCAGTTGGGTAATTTTCTGTAATTTTCCTTTCTGCTGCTGTCTTCCAGGTGCACACGTTCAGGGGCCCGCACTGGTGTGAATACTGCGCCAACTTTATGTGGGGCCTCATCGCTCAGGGAGTAAAATGTGCAGGTAACAGTCGTTTCAGTCTTCTTTTCCTAAGACAGTCCTAATGTTGTAACTGTTTACTGTGCTGCCTGCTCCACCGTAACGCCGCGTGGCAAGGGTCTGATCTGACCCTGGTTAAAATCTGAGGAGGGAACACATCCACTCTGCTGCTGATGGTTTCAGGTACCACTTCCGTAACATCACTGCAGTGATGCAGAGTACCTCTCGAGCGCGCACAGAGGGGAAATTGTAATCATCATTAAGGGATTCCCCCCACCTGCTCCTTTCAGAATGGAGGAGACGATAGGTGGATGTGTTGTTAGCTCTGTTTCCTTGATAACACTTGCATATATTGTTAGGTGTGAGGAACTCACTGAGGGTCTCAGTGTGCCACGTGGGCCATCAGCACATCTCACATCACTGGTGTGAAACAGGCAGTTGGGTTAATTTTCTGTATAAGTGAGCAGACTCCCAGCGTGCCGGAGACCCTAAGTCATGTCTCCTACTTGCAAACTTAAAAGAAAGTAAGGAAAGGGATGACGGATAAGGAATGCATCCTGAAATGTTACATAAACATTCAGGTGCTGGTAGAAATGTATTACACGCATGGGTGTCACTGCAGGCATTTCTGGGATAAAGCCGCTCTGAAGTAAAACAATTTGACAGTTTTATTGATATGATTCTTCTGAAAAGAAAGGACAGTCAGCTTTTTTCAAAGGAAAGGAAAAAAAAAAAAGGATCAAAGTGGTCAAAATAGTTTACTGTACTTAAAAAGTATTTTATGACATTCTAGCAAGCAGCCACATTTATAAAAATGGTGCAAAGAAATGTTGATGTATGAAGACCAGCGTATGTTGCCCTGGAAACTGAATTTTCAAGCTAATTTAAGAAAATCTGCTCTGTCTAAAGCTTTCTGAAATCTTGTCTCAAGCAAATAAGAGGGCTTTTTATCACAGAACTGCAAAATAATGTAGAACTTAAAATAATTTGTAGCCAAATGTGATTAAAATATTTTAAACTCTTCCCCCAATAATTATTTGAATGCAATATTCTGTCATTATCAGTAGACTCTGGACTGTCCAGGATATATTAGAGAGTGCAGCTCTGTTTTAAGTAATGATTATGTAAAAATGGCGATTTCTTTCTCAGTATTTTCCCCCTGCTAAGTATTTAGGGTTGTGGTCATGTCCCGCGCTTATGAATGAAGATTGTTAGTACTTTTTACGGCTGTTGATTTTGCACAGGATGTACAGTGCTAGAAAAGAAAGAGGAAGCCTGATTTTATTCTTGAACTGTTTTCTGATTAAAGTAGTCATTTTTTGATGACACGTGAGCCAGTAAGTGTGCCATCTTCCTTCCTTGCCTGAAGGAGATTCCTCAGTTTGGGCATTTAGGAGACATACCAGGTATCTTTCAGATTTATGTTAAGTAACTTTGATCAAGAAAATCAATAACAACGAACAGTGTGAAGACTCTCAATGCTGCATGGCACTGCGGAATGAACAAAAAATACTGCTTTTAGAATTAAACCCAAAGTGCTTTTGATTTTACACTGCTTTAAAAAAAAAAAAACAAAAAACAACCTGAAGTAGAACTGATTTTCTGGTTTTATGCAGATTTTTCTAAATTATAAGTTTCTGAAAGCTTCCAAAGTCTGGTTTTCTTTCCTCCTTATGAGGATGGTTATAAGTACTGCACGTCTCCTTTTCTCCTCCTTGCAGTGTAGGGGAACATATGTGTATTAGATGACTTCATAGGTTCAGAAACTATAATTAGGGCTTTCTGTCTTGTGTAAGGTTTCATATCGGTGTTGGTAGCTTCCAGTAGTTTCAGTGATCTTATTTCTATTTTAAAATCCCATGTTATATGACCACACTTGTTGAAGCGTTAGCGAGGCGTAGGGGGAGGCTGAGGATTTTTGGGCCGTGCTCGAGGTCACTGGGCACGACCAGGCGAGCTGCTGGTGGGCAGCATCATCAAGTGGGATGCATGGAGGAGCCAGGTGAGGAGCCATGTGGTGACGAGGCTGCCAAGCAGCCCTTCTTCAGCCTGGCAAATCTGGTTGCTGGGGTTGAGGAGCAGGAGAGTTGGGCTTTTCCAAGGGCATGGGTTGCAGCCGACCCACCTTGCTTGTCCTCCCCTCACCACAAGGCTGCCTTTTAGCCACTGGCCAACCTCAGCGATAGCTGATAGAGAACTAGGGGCTTCCCAGGTGATTTTGTTCTCATAGATTTCATAGAAGTCAGTGGCTGGGTAGAGGAGGGGGACTCCAGGCAGAGCCCCATGGAGGTGGAGATGGCAGGACAGGCCCAGCAGTTCCACAGTCTGCCTTGTCCGTGCCTCACCTTCAGCAGTGTCCACCTGCTCTGGTCAGCTGAGGCTGTACAAGCCATCAGAGCGAGAAGCTGTACAGATCTGGGCGTATCGGAGGAAAGTCAGAGGTGCACAGGTAGACAGTGAGGACCTGTGTTAACTTAGTGTGGAAGAGCTCAGGCTTGAGTGCCATGAGTTTGGCTGAATTTACATGGGTCTTCGGGTGGGGTTGGTTTTTTTTTTGAAAAAAAGTAAGCATTTTGCTTCTGAACTGAGCCATTTTAATATGGAAACAATGAGGCACAGTAAACAAGGAGCCACATGAGGCCATTGCTTTTCAGAGTGGGTTCGTACTTCAAAAAAATTACAGCTTTTAGCAGGAGGCAGCCCACTTGCATTCAAATGGGGTTCAATGCCACTCCAGGGAAATCCAGAAAATCTGTTTGGTGGTCTGTATGATCATTTTATTGAAAATACCTATGAGCGAAACTGCACTGATCGTATGTAATTTTATACTTTTTAAAGCATTTGCTTTTTATAGCAAACAGTTGCACATCTCAAGAGGACTCTATTTGCTGTACAAAAGTGATAAGTTTAACAAATACAAATGGATTACTGCATGGGCTACTCTCAACCATTTTAAATCCTCTGCTCTGCAGAAGCACAAAAACATGCAAGAATAGAAGTGTGGGACAGTCCAAGACTGGACAACAAAGATAAATCTCCCCCATTTCAGAAAAGAGTAGGAGGAGCCAGAGGAAAAAGTGCAGCTTATTTCTAATGGCTGATAGATTAGTTTATGTTGCACAAACTAAGCCAATGCTTTGAAAAATAATAAACCAGAACCAAACGTTCATAAGAGTACACATGCCATAGCAACCAGCAAGGATGCCTTAGCAACTTGAGCTGCCTTGACTCATGCTTTGTTGCAGTCTGGCATGACTAAGTTCGTCCCTCTCTGCCAAAATACAGCCTTGAGGGCGTTCAGTATCTTGTCAGGTACAGTCCTGGATGATTAACCCCTGGAAGATTGGTTCTCCCTAGCTTATCCTTGTTTGGGTTTTACAGCAGATAAAGGAGGAGTACGTCTTTTCCTTCCATAAAGACGAGAGTTAAATGCAGGCACCGTGTTTGCCACCTGAAGTGTGGTTATTGGTTGAAGTAAGATGTTGGCTGTCATTTTGACTACAAAGGTTTTGAGAATAATGCAAGCCACCAAACATGGGAAGACTTTATTGTCTTCCAAAATTAAGACTTAGGGTGATGACCAGGATTTGGAACCTGTAGGAAATTAATTGGTGGACTTAGTCTGACTTCTGCTGGAGTTATATCCAGCAGAACAGGAATAATTTCTTTTTCCTTAAATGTTATTCTCTCGAATTTGATGTTTATTTCATCAACTTCTTTAATGTCAAATTTGCTTCTTTGGAAAGAATCCTTATATTAGGCATCTGCCCTACTGTCTCAGAGGGTCGTGCTTCCAATTTTTGCATCCTAGCCACAGGCCCTTAAAATTGTTGCGGAACGAATACTCATCTGTATGCAAAGAATCTGCCTTTTCTGACGGCATGCTCCATCTCCAGCACGCTTTCCTGCAGGCTTTTGCCATAAGTAGAAATGACTGAAGAAGTGTTTGAAATTATAATGCCACCAGCTTGTGTAAACGTTGAAGCTCAGCAGAAGCTAATGAAGACATAAGAGTTTACCCCAGCTCAAAATCCAATGCATGAACTTAAAAAAAAAAAAAAAAGTATTCTTAATTACATTCCTCCTATGTAAGGCTCCCCTGTGCTCACAGAGCTCATCCCATTGCCCAGAATGTGTTCAGGAGAGAAACTATAATAATATCCAAAGAAAATTTGTAGATAAGCACCAGGGAGTTCATTTTATGAATGATGCAAGCACATAACACCCGGTAGCGTTAATGGAGAATATGTGTGTTCTCAGAGACTAGAGCATGACATTAACAATGCTGTTAGTGTACTGCCCGAGCAGACTTGTAGACTAGCAGACTTGTCAAGCGGCTGCGTGTGTCCTGTCCCCTTCCCCAGCCCGCCAGAACTGTTTGAGTTACTGTTTAATCTGCTCCTTCTTCTGTACCCTTTTGCTTGTTGTTCTTAATGAATAAGTGATTTAATCAGAAGATTTTTTGGAACGGGCTGATTTAGGAGCATTAATTAGCTTATCTTAAAGGACAGATATTTTTTGACTGTTTCACTAGATGCTTTTGATACTGTTTTGGGCTTCTCCTTTTAACACCAGGCAGTACCACCCTCTGAGGCTGTATGTGAAACACCATTTCTGCTGCCTTGATAAATGTGCTCTGAACTATCTCAGCCTGCCACCCACGTAGCAGTTGCCTATCTTTTGTTTCCCTCGGAGTAGGTAACTTCTCTCTGAAGAACTGATAGAAATAAACTTGCAGCTGAACTCTCAGTGTGGGGGCGACCAGCTGCCACTGGCTGAGCTCGAGCAATATTGCTGCCAGCTCTGACCCCAGTAAGCCCCAGGAGTTCGTTTTCAGAAAAGTTAGTCTCAAAGCAGGATTGTTTTCTGAATTACCACTTACATTTTTAATTTCCGTGTTTCATCCATTTCCTTCTCCAGCGACTGAAAAACACAAAACTGCCCCGTTTCCTTTGCTGTTTTGTTTTGCCTTGCTATTAAATCCTTTGTGTTGGACAGCCCTGTGTTGCTCCACTGGTGTGTAC